TTTTTCCTTAGGGCTTCTGAGATCTTTCTACTTCAGGAAAGACTCTGGGCTCATCGAAGGAGCAGAAAATTTTCTTTGACCCTATTCCTTCCCACAATTTTTTATTCAATCACTGCTTTGCAATAAATATATTTTCCTCCCCACATGCCTATTGAAAGTTTATTTCCCTATCTGGGTCTTTGGCTGCCACTGTTTATAACATATTGTCAGATGTTGCAACGCAAGTCCAGCAGAGAAGTGACAGTGAAACATGCATTGAATAAATCCTTTCGATGCAGTAAGGATAGTCCATAAGGGAGCCAGGCCAACAGGCTCGATGCCAACAGAAGGGTGCCAACGTCAGCATAACAGCATCAACTCCAATACAATGCTATTGACACCCACATTTCAGTGACAGAGTAATACCATTGGCTCCACCGAACAATGGACCCAGTACAGGCTATGTCACTCCTGGCTGGCCCAAAGTCACTCATAAGTCACCTTCTGGAGGTTGGACCCAATCTGTAAGTGGGAGACAAATTGACACTGGACCAGCACTTGATCGTATCTGCATTATATACCATTTGTTGCTAGCGGATATCTTAAAATTTACTTATTTTTAATTTAAGAAAAACAACATGGCATGCTATGTAATGGAAAGACCGAATTTATTTACTTATTTTTTTAGTCCGCATGTGCTTTCTAGATCAGGAGACCTGAGAAGTTTGGGAATAAGGAATATAGTTCCATGCACTGCCAACAGTAGGTTAACTCTTTTTCCATGGTGTTATGAGCTGTGAGTCCCAGAAAAGAAAGAGAAAAATAGGAAAAAAACATTACTGGAAGAAAGAATGGCTGGAAATTTTCCAAATATGATGAAAGTAAATAAATCCAAATAAACTCAACAAAACTTATACAGGATAATTGTCAAGAAAACCATATTAAGAGATATAATAATAATCAAATTATTAAAAACCAAAAATAAAGAGAAAATCTTAAAAGCAATTGAAGAAAAAAAAAACACAAGACGGAACTTCTCTATACGATTGGCAGAGAGCGAAAAGACAGTCACGAACCACTTGGAAATCGTGTGAGTTCTTTAAAGTAAACATATACTCACCTTATAATCCAGCAAATCTATCCTAAATATTTACCATTGAAAACAAACATTTTATGTCTGTTTATACTTGCATAGTGTTTATAGCGGCCTTAGCCATAATAGTAAAGTACTGGAAACAACTTAAATGTACATTAATCCGTTGAATAAGCAAACTGCGATACATTCATGCAAGTGGATCGCATTAAAAAGAAAACTATAATACACACGACCACGTGATGAATCCCACCGACATATGTTGAGTGACAAAAGCCGGCGCACAAGAGATACATACTGGATGTCCATTATTGGAATTCGGGAATAGGCAAAGCTAATCGCACCGGTGATGGATATCAGAGTGGGAATGACTCTGTTATGAAATAATTCGTAGGACGGGTACTAGTTTTCTTTGTAGTCTGGTAGAATTCAGCCCTGAATCCACCTGGTCTGGAGGTTTCTTTGTCGTAGATTTTTTTTTTTTTTTTTTTACAGAATCCTTTTTCAACAGTATTGTCGGTAGATTTTTTTTATTACTGCTTCAATCTTGCGAGCTCATAGTAGCTGTGACTGTTCGGTTTTTTTTCTTCCTGATTTAGGCTTGGGAGTGTGTCTTGTTTCCAAGATTTATCCATTTCCTGGCAGTTTTCTAGTTGTGTTGCATAGAGTTTGGTAGTATCACGAATGATGTTTATTTTTTTTTTTGTTGTTGTTTGTATTGTTTTTTTTGAACAGGAGTCTCATTGTTGCCCAGGCTAGAAGTGAGTTGCCGTTGGTGTCAGCCTCGCTCACAGCAACCTCAATCTCCTGGGCTCAGACAACCTACTGCCTCAGTCTCCCGAGTAGCTGGGACTACAGGCATGCCCACCATGCCCAGTTCATTTTTTCTATATGTTTTAGTTGTCCAATTAATTTTTCTGTTTTTAGTAGAGATGGGGTCTTGCTCTTGTCAGCTGGTTTTGAACTCTGACCTTGAGCATCCGCCACCTTGGCCTCCCAGAGTGCTAGGATTACAGGCGAGAGCCACCGACGCCCGGCCTGTTTTGTATTTCTATGCATCGTTGTAATGTCTCCTTTTCCATTTCTGATTGAGTTATTTGAGTCTATCTCCTTCTATTCAGGTTAATCGGCAGTGGTGTATCGATTTTGATTTTTTCAAAGAACCAACTTTTGTTTCATTGATCCTTGTATTTTGTTTGTTGTTTCCATTCAGTTAGTCTGCTGTCTGAGCTTCTGAGTTTTTATTTCTTCTTCTACTGGTGTGGTTTGGTTGCTCTTCTCTTCCTAGTTCCTTGAGGTGTGACATTAGGTTGAATTTGTGATCTCTGTCTTTTTGATGTAGACTTTTAAGGCTATGAGCTTTCCCCTTAGGACTACTTTTTGCTAAACCCTGTAGATTTTGAAAGCTTGTGTCTTTTTTGTCGTTCAATTTGAGGAATCTCTTGATTTCCATTTTAATTTTGTCATAGACCCAAGGATACTTCAGCAGCAGATTGGTTAATATCCATGCCTTTGTGAAGATTTGAGTATTTTTCTTGGAATTCATTTCTAGTTTTATTCCACTCTGCTTTGAGAAGGTGCATTGGATGATTTTGACTTTTTGAATTTGCTGAGACTTCTTTAGTGGCCTAAGATATGATCAGTTTTGGAAACATTCCCATGTGCTGATGAGAAGAATGCGTATTCAGTAGGAATTGTTTTATGAATCTGGGAGCTCTGGTGTTAGGTACATATGTATTTAGGATTGTCACATCTGCCTGTAGAAGTGACCCCTTCATTATGTAATGACCATCTTTGTCTTTTTTTTACTATTATTAATTTATCTGATATAAGAATAGCTACTCCTACTCACTATCTGATAAATTCTTTAGATAATCAATTCTTATAAGACTTTATAAGTAAATGCTTAACAAATTCATGTAAAATTTTAATTGAAAAATTGATCTTTTCTACAATTTTATCTCTAGACTCTCTGCTGCTTCAAGTCCCTATAGTCAGCTGCTTTCTGGTGGACAGATACTCTTTATGTAACTCAAATTGATAATGTTCAAAATTCAAACATGGTTAATGATTAAAAAGAACATAGTCTCCCTAAACCTGTCTCTCATTGCTAATGGACTGAATGTTTGTGTCCCCCCTGGAGTTTGGAGGTGGGGCCTGTGGTACCTAGTTAATTCCTGAGAGTAGAGCCCTTATGAATGGGATGAAGAAGAGATGGGAGAGAGCTTGCTTCTCTCTCTCTCTCTCTCACACACACACACACACACACGAAGATACAATGAGAAAATAGCTATCTGTAATCCAGAAAGGAAGAGGGCCTTCAGCACGAACCCAACCATGCTCACCAAGAACCCAACCAACCTCCAGAACTGTCAGAAATAAATGTTTGTTGTTTAAGCCACCCAATCCATCAAGTTATGTTATAAGCAGCCCGCATGGACTAAGACAGCTATTGTGGATTCTCTGTTTTCCTATTTGAGTGACGTAAACAGTCGCCCATGTTATAAACCTATTGTTCTTGACTCTACCCTTTCCCTCAGCCTCCAATTCCAACACCCATTTCTCAATACTCACTACATTTTGTAAATTTTATAGCTTAAATATTTATTGAATCCACCCCAACTCATCAACCCTATCTCCCCTGTCCAGTTTCTGACTCCTCTTATATCTCTAACTGGGTCACTGTGACAATTTTGGAATCACTTTCCTGCTCTAGTTTTGTCTGCCTCAAATCCCATTCCTCTACCCAGGCACTATAGGGAATAATCCATAGTTTAAATCTGACCATGAAGCTCCCTTAATTAAAGCCCTTTCAATGACTTTGCATCATCTGTAGGGTAGAATCCAAGTCCACTGGAATGGCAAAGAAGTCTTTGGTGCTCAGGACCTGGCTTGTCATTCTAGCCTCACTCCTGCACTACCTGGTCTTAGAAACTGGTGATCTGATAACAAAAAAATTGCTCTAGCACACAAACATGCTGAGTGTCACGTCTATGCACCTGCTAGTGTTGCCTCTGACCCTTTTCGTAGTCAACTTTTGACATCAAATGTCTTCCCTTTTAATGGCTTCCTGACCTCTCTCCTGCTAAGGTGAATTAAACATCTTTCCCCTCTACTCTCAAAATATCCTAAGATCTTCTCCGTATGTTACTCATCATTTGCTTTAGTTACCTGTTTAAATGTGTATCTTCTTAACAAGGCATATAATGGATCCTGAGTAAATGTATGTTTAATGGGTGCAGAATTAATGCATTAATGGGTAAACTAACGTGGTAATAACATAGCGGCTGGAACAGCAACACTCAATAGAAATGCATTTTATTTAATTATGGATATGAGATTGAGTTGAAAATAACGTCTGCTATCCAAAAGATCATTAAATTTGATTCATTTGGTTTTGCTAGCTAGGTGGGTGTTTTTGTTACATTATACATTATGCAAGTTCTATAAATTCTTAGAAAACTAGTCCATTTGAATGAGCCACTTGAATGGCCCAAGGGGAAATTGGATTGACTCAACTGTGTGTAAAATTTGGCAGGAAGTTAACTAGCTTCAAAAAAAAAAAAAGTATGCAAATATAATCTCCCCCTTCTAGAAAGCACCTTAAAGGAATTTTATACAATTTATAATTTTTTTTGTAAAGCATCATTACAGCGAATGTAATTTTCTATTCATAATATTGTAATTTGCTCCAATCCCTTTTTATTCTTTCTGTATAACTATTTAATAATGGTAAAATCTCTATCATGTTAGAAGCATCTTTGTATTTTCTTTAAATTGTGTGTGTATTTCAGCACTGTTCTTGGTCAAGACCTAGCCCATTTGTTAATAGAGATAGCATTTAATTAGGAGAAATACCCACGTATGGAAACGGTAAGGCCTGTATTACTCATGCTTCAGGAATCTGAGTTTTGAATGCTCTTGGCAGACCTCAGGCTAGAACCACGTGTCACAGAGGAGGCAGATGGATCAACCCTTAAGAAAGCTGCTGAGACTCGGTCTGTCAAGACCAGCGTGGTGAAAACAGAGTGAACGTGGAGAACTGTGGAATGACGTGAGAGTGAAAAGGTATCTGGGTGACAAGACAGAAGCGATCTTTACATGGGAGGTCTAGCAGAAGAATTATAAATAGAAGAAGACTTGTGCAAATGTTCTTTTCCGTTGTTTTTCTTGGGTCACATGTAGCTAGGACAGTAAGACATTTCTCAGGTAGCATCCCTCCTTGGAGTGGACCAGGCTGCTTTTGAAAAGCCAGGTGGGAGAGAACCAGAGAGGGGCCCAGTGTGGGCGACAGTCATGCTTGAAGGGACCACACGAGGCTGTAACATGCATGCATGATGTGGTCTAAACCACCAAGATAGAAAACCCTGTAAGTGAATTGACAATAAAATTATAAAGAGCATATATTTGTTTGGAGAATCCTTTGGGGTCGTGAGCATAGCATGATTTCTGAATTTAGTAATACTGTCTTTCTTTTCATCTATCACAACCAAAATGAAATACAACTATATTTACCCTTTTAAATAACCATGTCTGCTTTTGGGACATAGCTCTACTCTGTGAGCAAGAAAGGGTGAAAGAAAGATGGCTAGAAATAGATAAATATACACACACACACAAATCCATATGTACTTACATTAATATATATTTGACAGTGAGATTTAATATTTGCTGGCATTTATTTCAATGTTTTTCTTTCTCTTAAAAGACTGAGGTTGATTTTCCGAATGATTTATCCCTGTGGCTCATGCTAATACATCACCACTTTAAAATCTTGCTTCATACAGCTCTAGCTTTGACCACATGCCACAGAAAAACAAACCTTTTTAATATATGAAGGGTGTCAATGTTAGTCATGTGATTTGTAATGCTTTTGCTTAAATATTGATTTTTTTTCAAATTCAATTTTTATTGATTCCTCTTAAATATTAATCATTTCTAAAGACAGCTTAAAAAATAGGCCGAGTCCCCTGAACATTCTTGATACCCACTCCCCATAGAAATAGAGTACAATTTCAGTATGCTTCAAATTAAGTCAAACAAAAACATACTGCTTTTTCATTTAAGAGTTTAATGTCATAAATCAAAATTTTATCTGTGCCGAATCCAGGAATGTATGCAGAGTATTGAGTGTGGCTTTTCCATGAACAGTCCAATGACATCTATGATTAGCCAGTTTATCTATACTTTCTGCCATCGTTGCTACATGGAAAACCAGCCCTGGTCCCCAGGAGATGAGTGTACCATAGTATCAGTGAAGTTGACCGTTCCCACCTTAATATGATGACCAGAAAGTGGCAGATCATTAACAGTTGCAGGGGTCTAGGGTTCTCATATATTAGTGTGTGGAAGATGCTTCAGTTCTTCTAGAAAATAAACACCCCTTCCCCACGTTGGCTATGTTGTAAATTTGTGATTGGGAAACCAGCACTTCTGAAGGATGGAATGCTGCTAGACATGGGAACTATCAGCCATCAAGCCTTCAGTACATCATTCAAGCCTCTGACCTTGGTTTTCCCCAGCAGCAATATGGCGGAAACAATGGCGGCCACTGGCTCTGTCTTACTTGGATAAGTGAACACACATCGGTGACTCCTCAGAAAAGGAGACACATACCCAATTCCCCGCTTGGGAGGGTTTGCATTGAGAATTCCTCCTCCTTTGTGGATTGCTGAGATTTTGGGATATGTTTAACCCACACAAACAATTTATAAGTGCTGGTTGGATTTCAAACCCATCATGCAGCTAAAACTAAGAATTTTGCATGGATTCAAGATTAATAAATATTTTTACCCTGAAGGTGAATAAAGGCAGTCATGTTGTTAAAGTTCTAAAAATTAACTTAAAGAGAAATACAATAAAGAGAAATCTTTTTTTTTTTCTTTTCTGTTTTCAGTGATGGTGTTTGAGGATAACGCTCAAAGGACAATAAGGATGAAAGTTAATGATAAAATTAAAGATATTTCTATATACTATACATTTATTAAAGTTGATAGGAAGTTTTAAGAATTTATTTTCTTTTTTTTTTCTTTTTTTTTATTTCGGCATATTATGGGGGTACAGATTTTAAGGTTTCAAGAAATGCCCATTTCCCCCCCTCCCCCCAAAGTCTGAGTCTCCATCATGACCATCCCCCAGATGGTGCACATCTCACTCATTATGTATGTATATACCCGCCCCCCTCCCCCCTCCCCAATACCCTATTACTGTAGTACCTATGTGTCCACTTAGGTGCTACTCAGTTAATACCAGTTTGCTGGAGAATATATCTGGTGTATTTTCTGAATCGAATGCTTATTTACATCTGGCATAGAAAACCTAGAAAACAAAGATAACCCCCCAAAAAAGGCACACAAAAATGATCACCCACCACCCAGAGATATTCATGATGAACAACATTTTTGCACGACTTGCTTCTTGATTTTAACTAATCGGGACATTCAGCTTTGCCTTTCTTTGATAAAAACGCCTTGTCAGGACTATGGCTGTATTTAAGCGTCATGATAAACCTCCTTTTGCCTCACAAATAAATCAGGGCCAAAATTCGGCATCAATGCTAACATATGCACATGGCTGGCGTGGTCATGGCAATGGGGCAGAAATCTTGCAGGGCAGGAAGTTCATCAGGGAAAAGTCTGGGGCTAGTGACCTGGGACGAAAGCACATGGAAGCAGTGACAGTACCAAGGGCCAGAGTCAAAAAGAGGACCGAGTATGTTTGGAAACACAGCTAATTCTGTATGGGAACCACTAATGCCTTTGCAGATTATTCATCTTTTGTTCTGGGCCTGATTTAGGCAAACCTGGGTCCCAGTGTAGCCTGTACCCCTCAGTAGCTAGAGACTTTTAGACAAATGTATTTAAATTATTTTTTAAAAAAAATTGGGATAAAGTTCATGTGACATAAAAGTAATAACCATTTTAATGTGTGCAGTTCGGTGACATTTAGTACATTCGCAGTGTTGTGCAACCGCTGTCTTAATCTGGTTCCAAAACATTTTCATCATCCCAAAAGGAAACCTGTACCCATTAAACAGTCACTCCCCACTTCCCTTCCCCCCCAGCCCCTGCAAACCGTGAACCTGCTCTCCGTTTGTGTGGATTTACCTGTCCTGGATATTTCATATAAATGGAATCATACAATATGTGATCTTTTACACCTATTTAACTTCTTCAACTTTTTTTTTCTTTTTTTTTGGACGCAGAGTCTCACTCTGTCGCCCGGGCTAGAGTGAGTGCAGTGGCGTCAGCCTAGCTCACAGCAACCTCAAACTCTTGGGTTCAGGCGATCCTCCTGCCTCAGCCTCCCGAGTAGCTGGGACTACAGGCATGCACCGCCATGCCCGGCTAATATTTTCTATATATTTTTAGTTGTCCAGCTAATTTCTATTTTATTTTTTATTGAGACGGGGGTCTCATTCTTAGTCAGGCTGGTCTTGAACTCCTGACCTCAAGTGATCCTCCCGCCTCGGCCTCCCAGAGTGCTAGGTATACTGGTGTGAGCCACTGTGCCCGGCCTCCTACTTCTTTGTGAGCCTCAGTTTCCCCCACTATCTTCCCACCTTAACATGTGTAAGTAATACTTTCTTGGACCATCGTATGAATTACAACGAGATCACGTACAGAAAACAATAAACACAAACCCTGGAGGAAACGCAGTCTGTCCAATAGCTCCTCTCTTACCGTTTGGTTTTGAATCATTGCACACACCTTTGTAGGTGTACAGATGTTACGCTGATCGGTAGGATTTACTTAACACGAGCTTTCCTTCCTGTCACCCTTAAACTACTTTTGTGACCTGTTAACCTGGGTACATCCAGGGGTTTTCACGGTGGCCTGCAGGGCTGTCCTTTCCCCTCACCTCCGTCTCCTGGCTCCTTTTCTAAATGTCACTGCACTTCCATCCATTTGGTGGGTCCCAGGAATTTTGCTCTTCATATCTGGGAAAACAGCAAGCGGACCAGAGTCTCCTTGGCATGGCACAGCGTGTGTGGGCCTGTGTCCTGTCCAGGCCACTTTGTTCCTAGTTAATTTGTTGAATTCCTTTGGAGAACAGGCGTGGCGCCCCCCACCGAGCCATCAGCACAGCTGTGAAGCCGCACGGTGGCCAAACAGAGCCCAGCGGGAAATGTGTACCCAGAGCCCGGAGACAGCCGTCCTGGCCGAGCCCCCTGGAAAGCTCGCTGGCCTGTCTTTGGGGACAAGTGGCATAGCACGCCCAGAAAGGCCACACCGCCCATGAGTCTTAGGCATACGCGGTGCTGGGCTGTGACGTTGTCTAAGAGACATAAACCAGTAGCAGTGGATGCCCACGAGTCGGCTAGAACCCCATCCCGCTCGACTACTGTCGCCTCGTTTGTTCCTTCTTTTCTTTTCTCTTCTTCTTCTTTTTTGTTTTCTTTTTTGTTATCCTAATATTTTCCTTCTATCTTCTCGGCTGCTTTGATCTTGGCATGGAGCCCCTTTGACAACGAAGAGATGGCGACTGGCCCCCTGGCAGGGCATTATTACGAAGGGAGCCGGGCTTTAAAAAGAAAGAAACCTTTGTAGGCGCCACCCCCCACCCCCGGGAGTCAGAGGAGGCCCTGTGCCACCGTCTCGTCTTGGGGAGACGGTGGGTGGGCACGGATGACAGCGTGTGCGTGCAGTCTTCAGTGGGCACTCCTAATAGAGCCCCCCCGGCCGAGACGGTCAAAGGCTGTTCTGTCCAGAGCCAGCCTGTGCACTGCGGAGAAAGTCAGCCTGGCATGCAGAGGTTAGAATCACATGTCTGTCTGTCTGTCTGTCTGCCCGAAATATTCCGCACGGCCCGGGGACCGACTCTGCCACCATTGGCAGGAAAACAAGCTCTGGCCCGCACGGGCTCTGTGTAAGGGTTGCCAGGCGGTGAACCTAATGAAACTGTCATCAAACTTGGTCTGCCTTTGTGTTTCTCTTTTGTGTGTGGGGGACTTGTGGTTGTCATGTTCCCTTACTTAGGCTATCGTGATAATGGCTGAAAATAACAAAGTGTGGAAAACTGTGGGGATTTCATGGAAAGCGCCTTCCTAAATTCCAGGGAAAGTTGGCAGAGTTCTGCGGTTAAAGTTTTCAATCTTCCTGTGCAGGCTGGTCTTGAACTCCTGACCTTGAGCGATCCTCCCGCCTCGGCCTCCCAGAGTGCTAGGTATACTGGTGTGAGCCACCTCACCCGGCCTCCAACTTCTTTTTGGGTCTCAGTTTCCCCTATTGTCTTCCCACTTTAACATGTGTGATACTTTCTTGGACCATCGTATGAATTACAACGAGATCACGTACAGGAAACAGTAAACAGAAACCCTGGAGTAAACACAGTCTGTCCAATAGCTCCTCTCTTACTGTTTGGTTTTGAACCATTGCACATACCTCTCTGTAGGTGTGCAGATGTTACGCTGATCGGTAGGATTTACTTAACACGAGCTTTCATGAGCTTCACATGAGCTGAAAACAGACGTACCTGCATATTGACCTCATAAAGTTAAACAGAAGCACTATGTATAGAACAGATGTTTTTGGAAAATTCTGACTAGATCTCTGTGTGTGTGTGTGCGCACGTGGGGTTCGCCAAGCATCGTGCTTAAGTGCTTTGCTGAACTGGTTTGGAGCTGGGAGAAGGATCTGGAACGAGGGAGAGTAGAATCTCTTAGCCGCAATCATGGGTGAAGATGCAGTTACGGAAAGACAGTTACCCACGCCCTGCACGCAGGTCGATCTAACTCCAAAGCTCACACACTTCCTACGA